TCTGTATGTGGGAGGCTGGGAGTTAGAGCATTTGGGTGGGAGTTGGGGTGCCCTGCCCCTCGAGCAGGAATGGTGCCCCCGGGGAAGAAACCCGCTGGAGAGGCCTCCAACTCCAATAAGAAGTGCAAGCGTTACTTCAACGAGCACTGGAAAGAGGAGTTTACCTGGCTGGACTTTGACTATGAGCGGAAGCTGATGTTTTGCCTTGAGTGCCGCCAGGCCCTGGTACGGAACAAGCACGGCAAAGCTGAAAACGCCTTCACCGTGGGCACCGACAACTTCCAGCGCCATGCCTTGCTGCGCCATGTGACCTCGGGGGCTCACCGCCAGGCGCTGGCCATGAACCGGGGCCAGCCCACTTTTGAGGGCCAGGCTGAGGGAGGAGGGGCCTCCCCAGGCCTGGCGACCACCCCTACCTCCAGGGGCATCAAGGTGGAGGTGGACCCTGCCAAAGTGGCTGTGTTGACCACGGTGTACTGCATGGCCAAGGAGGACGTGCCCGACGACCGCTGCTCTGCCCTACTTGAGCTACAAAGGTTCAACTTGTGCCAGGCGCTGCTGGGCACGGAGCGTGGTGATTACTACAGTCCCAGGAGGGTGAGGGACATGCAGGTGGGTGGCAGCCAGAGGTATGGGGGAGGGCTTGCGGAGGGAGGACATTGAGCCATCTGGCACAGTGCCAGCATGCCAGGCCCCTGGGCCTCGGCCAGAGCACTTCATTCATACCTTCACTGTCAGAACCGTCACTGAGAGCGACTGTGTGTGTGGCCTTGGGCCGGCTGCTGAGAACACAGCAGTGGAGCGGCCAGACCAGGCCCTGTCCTCAGGGGCCCAGGGGCACTCCCTCACTACCTAGGCCAGAGATAGCAAACTGGTGGCCCTGAGGGCTTCATTGGCCCACAGAAGTGTTTTGTTGTTTTTTACAGTATTTTTGTTATTTTTTTAATCCTGAAACTATTTTTCCCATTGATTTTAGAGAGAGTGGAAGGAAGGGGTGAGGGGGAGAGAAAGAGGGAAAAACCTAAGTGAAAGAGACACATTGATTGGTTGCCTCCTGCTCATACCTCTACTCAACCAAGGCATGTGCCCTTGACTGGGAACCAAACCAGAGACCCTTCTGTCCAAGGGCCAATGCTCTAACCACTGAGCAACCGGCCAGGGCTGTTTTTATTGATTTTAGATGGAGAGGAAGGGAGAGGGCAAGAGAGAAATATCGATCAGCTGCCTCCTGCACGCCCCCTACAGGGGATTAAGTCTGCAATCCAGGCATGTGCCTGGATCAGGAATCGAACCAATGACCCTTTGATGCATGGGATGACGCTCAACCAACTGAGCCACACTAGCCAGGGCCACGGTGTTTTTAAAAATTTTTAATTAGCTTCCAAGTTTAACAAAACGAGATTACATGTGAAAATCTGGATTTGTTACTTGTACTGAAAAACTAGGTCCCCATGCTCTCAGGGCATGAAGTGGTGGAGTTGGGGGAGCAAGTAATCCCTGGCCCACTTTGAGCTCAGTATTACCCTCGTGGCCCCTGGGGGCATGCAAGTTGCAGCTCTGTCCTAGGTACTTGCAGCTCTGTCCTAGGTACTTACCAGCTGTATGAGCCCTAGGGGCTGGTGTGCGGGTCGGGGAGTTGATCTCATCTTACAGAACACACAGCTGGGGCCCTATGTCACTGACTCAGAGTTAGGAGTGAACATGTCTATCAGTTCATCCCTGGACAGCAGAGAGGAGGGAGATCCCCAGGAATAAGGCAGACTGGGTGATGCTGTAGAAATACACACACCAAACTCTGTAGAACTTTTACAGTTCATAAAGCATTTTTCATTTATAAGCACAAAAACAAAAGGCTGTATTTATAATTCACAACAACCTTTGGAGGAGATTATGGGCACCTATGAGCCTGATTTTAGAGCTAAAGATATTGAGGCTCAGAGAGGTGAAATGACTTGCCCAAGATCACACAGCCTGTAAGTGGCAAAGCTAGGATTAGTCCCCAAGTCTGTCTGACCCCAAGGCCTGTGCTCTTGCCATCACCCTGTACTGTCTGCCTCCCCTTCTCAGGACAAGCCTAACTCTGCCCGCCCTCCCTTTCTCTCTCTGGCTGTCCCAGGTGGCCATTGCCAGTGTCTTGCACACAGAGGCTTGCCAGTGCCTGAAGGCATCCCCGTATGTGGGGCTGGTGTTGGACAAGACCAGAGACTGGCCTGAGTCCCACAGTCTGGCCTTGTTTGCCACGTCGGTGTCACCCTGTGATGGCCAGCCTGCCGCCACCTTCCTGGGCAGTGTGGAGCTACAGGAGGGCGAGGACACTGCTGGCCAACTCCTGGACATCCTGCAGGCCTTCGGTGTGTCTGCACCCAAGCTAGCCTGGCTCAGCTCAAGCCTCCCCAGGGACTGCCTGGGGAGCGTGGGCCTGCAGCTCCGGGCCACGTGCCCGCTGCTCACGGAGCTGCACTGCCTCCCTGGCCGGCCAGATCCTGAGCCCCCTGCCTACCTAGGTGAATATGAAAGTGTACTGGATGCCCTATTCCGCCTCCACGGTGGTCCCAGTTCCCACATGGTCCCTGAGCTCCGGGCAGCACTGGACCTCGCAGCCATCGACTTGGCAGGACCACGGCCAGTGCCCTGGGCCTCTTTGCTGCCTGTGGTGGAAGCAGTGGCTGAGGCCTGGCCTTGCCTGGTGCCCACACTGGAGGCCTCTGCCCCAGCCTCACCAACAGCTAGGGCACTGGCCCTCGCCCTGCGCCCAGTTCACCTTCGTGGCCTTCACCCACCTGCTGCTGGACACTCTGCCCTGCGTGCAGAAGCTCGCCCTCGTCCTGCAGCCGGAAGACCCACACCTGGCCTTGCTGCAGCCCCTGGTGATGGCAGCGGCGGCCTCCCTCCAAGCGCAGCGAAGCTCCGGTGGCGCGCGCCTCCAGGGCTTCCTGCACGAGTTGGCGTCCTCCAGTCCCGACTTGGGCGGTGAGCGCTGTACCTACGTGGCCTGGAGTTGGCCGGGCTACTCCCAGGCTGCGCTCCGGGACTTGGAGCGGCTGCGGGGGCCTTCTTGGACTCCCTGCAGAAGGGGCTGCGGGACTCCTACCCCGGGGCCCTCGCTGGATGCCGTGGCCGCCTTCTCCGCGATCTTCGATCCCCGCCGCTACCCGGAGACACCCGAGGAGCTGGGCGCGCACGGCGAGGGGGCGCTGCGGCTGCTGCTGCGCGCCTACGCCCCGGCGGTGGTGCGGCCGCGCGCGCTCGGCGACTTTGCGCTCTTCAAGCGCGTGGTCTGCAGCCTCGGGCGGCTGGGCCCGCGGGCTCTGTGCGCCAGGCTGGCCTGCGAGCACTCGGAGCTGCACGAGCTCTTCCCCGACTTCGCTGCCCTCGCCGCCCTGGCCTTGGCGTTGCCGGCGGGCGCCAGCCTCCTGGACAAGGTCGGCCGCAGCCGGGAGCTGCGGTGGTGGGGGCAGAACGGGGCCGGGGCAGGCCGGGGCGACCCTGTGGTCAAGATCGCTGTGGATGGACCCCCGCTACACGAGTTTGACTTTGCGCTGGCCGTGGAGTTTTTAGAGAGTGGGTGGGGGGACAGGTTGCTGGGGTCGAAGCTCACGTGAGGGTGGCCTCCTTCCCTCTATCCAGCCAGCCTGAGGCCCTGGGTCCTCTAAGGGCCAAGCCGGACTTGCCCATGCTGCATCCGAGCTGCCGTACTAACTGTGGCCTTCCGGTCACCTTCCCCATGCTTCTGCTCCACGCTGAGGACTAACCCAGCCCTGTGGGCTGTGGGCTGTGGGCTGTGGAGGAGGGCCTGGGTCAAGGGGGGCCCGGGCAGTGGAGAGATGCTAGGGTCTGGGGCACCCGAACTATTGCTCCTGACCATTCTAGAGTTTGGTGAGGAGTAGCTCAACCCTTTCCCTTTGGATTCATCCCACGTTTTGGCCTTAAAAATGTGGGGGGTTCTTGTTTGGAGGGAGGAAGGCTGGGGCTCCAGAATTAAGGGATTGAGGGAAAGTCGAATGTGGTCCTTGCCTTTCTTAGCCCCACTCCTGGCAGCGTCTCTTCTCTTCAGATACGACCGGAAAGCAGACCACGGTCCTTGTCTCTGACACAGCACAGCACTCTGTGCACAGCTAACAGTTCAGGGAGGCGGTGCTGCCCTCCCTGCCCGCCCCACCAAGGCTGCCCGGGGCTTTTATGTATATGACCCTGTGTACAGACAGATCAATCTATAAATAGGAAATAAATCTATCCTATTTTTCATAATGTAACACATAAATCTAAAAGGACTTCTTTTCGTTTTGCAGTGATAGGGTCTAAAAAACGTCCCAAATGAACTGGACTTGTTACTAATTTTCTTCTTGTTTCAAGTCTGGTTGTTCTCCCAAGTTCCTTGCCTCAGACCTTTAAGACCAAAGACTGTAAAACCACAGTGTTCCCGACCCCCCACCCCTCCTCCACCCCTCAAGGCCTGACCCAGGGATGCCAACGGGGGTGCTTTGTGCCTCCTGGGGGACACATCCCTTCAGATTCCAACGCTGGGGGACACATCCCTTCAGATTCCAAGGGTTTCCCATCCTCTCTGACAGCCCTTGCTGGGCATGATGTGGGGCTCTGGAGTCCCCAGGCCTCCTGGGTTTGGGTTTAATTTGCAATAAAGAGGAAACCCAGCTCATGTGCAGTCTCCATGGTGCTGTGTGTGTGTCGGGGGCCTGCCCTGACGCCTCTGTCCCCTCCCTTGGCCTGGCTCCCCTTAAGCATTCATCTGGGCCTCTGGAAGGGCAGGAGGGTCACCCTTCTTTTGTGGATTCCCTGCTTCTGCTGCCCCAGGTGTGGAGAGGAGAGGCACAGAGATGGGCTGTCATTGCCCTGGGCTTGGCCAGGGCTACTTTGTGACGAGGGAGACAGGAACTCTGTCCTGGCTTCACACCCAAGAAGCCCATCCGCTTCTTCTGGCTGTGGGGGTAGGATTGCCCTGTGGCTCCCCATTTCAGACCCTGCCCTTCTTCCTCCTGCAGCAGGCCCAGCATCCAGCACCCCCAGCCCCCTGCTGGCCTCCCTGCCCCTGGCTGCCAGGCCTCTGCAGCCCCCGCTGGACTTCAAGCACTTGCTCGCCTTCCACTTCAATGGCGCTGCCCCGCTCAGCCTCTTCCCCAACTTCAGCACGGTACGGGCCGGGCTGGCGGGCGGGGGGCGTACAGCCAAGCTGGGGGTGGGCATGGAAGGTGGGCTCAGATGGGCCGGTTCTCAGAAGGTGGGTCTTACCAGGAGCTCGTTTTCCTCCAACATCCCCAAGAGACTAGGTGCTCCCAAAATAGAGACCCCCAGGCCCAGCTCTCTGGGCAAGGGGAGGAGAATGGTGTCCCCCCAGTAACAACTGCTGGGCCTGTAGGGTCTGTACTGTAGATTTCACTTGAGTTTTGGTATAGGGACTTCTATGGATGATTTGTGTGTGCAATTGAGTGTGCCTTTCTGTGTTAGTTTGTAAATCCATAGGTCTTTGTGGGTTATTTGTGGATGTGGATGTGTGTTGGTGTTTGTAAACAACTCTGTATTTCTCCGTATGTAATATGTGTGCATGGGTAGCTGAGAGATGTTTTGTGTCTTTGTGTTGACTATGTGTGTTCTGGTGTATGTCTGACCTCTGAGTGTGTTTTGTATGGGTTGGGTGATTGTGCCTTTGTCTGTAGGCCATTTGTGTGTGTGTGTTATTCTGCATGGCACTGTAACCTGTAACTGTCTGTAAGCTCATGTGCTCTCTGTATCCTAGTCTGTGTATTTCCATGTGTGTATGTGTGTGAAGAACAAGGGTAGTGAGCATGAATTAGACTTCACTACATGAGCCATAAGGAATGCCACCCCCTTTTTAATTTTGAAAAATCAAATGCAATCATCAGTGAGCCCCACCCACCCTGACAAGATGGTGGGGAATTTGGCTTCAGTCACCCTGAGGAGTCCCTTCCTTCCTGCCTGGCCTCCAGGGCTGCACAGAGGTTCCAGGAACCTGAGGCATTTGGGGAGGGTCCTCTGGTCTTAGGTTTCTGCTGTCACTTGCTGACATGCTCACTGTTCAGGCACATGGACCCTCAGGTGAAGTGCTGTTGTCCTGATCGCTGGGGGCCCTGCAGGCCATTCTCTGAGGCCCTGTCCCCTGCTGCCTCGGCCCTGGTTGCTGTGGGAAGTAGAACCTCGTTCTGTTCTCAGGGAAGTTCCTGAAACCATGCTTTTCTCTCCCAGCCTTCCTGAGAGACGAGAACAGAAAGTTCTGGACACGCAAGCCCAGATGGCTGCCGCTTTTGGCCCAACAATCTAGGCCCCTGAGAAAAGAGAAGAAAAAATTATTTAAAATAAGAAAAAGAAAAAGACATACACATTAACATTCCAAAGAAATGATTCCACTACTCAGGGCCTCTACCTGCTGTCACCTGCCCCATCCTGGCCCCCCACCGCCCCTGGCCGGGGCTTCCTCTCCCTCTCAGGCCCTGTGGCAGTGGCAGAGCTCATAAGATGAGCCTGATCTCCCCGGCCATTAGGTCCAGCACAAGGCTGGGTTACGGGAGAGGAAATTCCAACAGAGGGATTCTGTCCCTTCCCTGCCTCTCCCTACCCCCAACAATCTGTCCCCGTATATGATTCTTGTGAATGAGAAAAACAAAACAAAATCAGAGGCCAGAGGCAGCAAGAAATGCCAAGGTGATCACCAGGACATGGTTCTATCTCTCAAGATCATGGAGGGCACCTTGGCCATCCCCCTGCCTCCAAGCCGAAGCCCAGGCTGACAGATAAAGTCTGCCAGGGACCAGGCTGTTTCTTGTGTTGGGTCTGGCATCACAAGGATGGTAAAGTTCTTCCTAAGGGTGCCCACTGCCCTCCTTGATAGCCTTTAGTTAGGGGTGTTTTGAACTGCCCTCTTCCAGAGGCAACCCCGGAGTTACTGTGCCCTCCCACCCCTTCACAGATGGACCCGGTCCAGAAAGCTGTCATCAGCCACACCTTTGGGGTCCCCTCCCCTCTGAAGAAGAAGCTCTTCATTTCCTGTAACATCTGTCACCTGAGGTTCAACTCAGCGGTGAGAGGAAGTAGTGGAAACATGCTGGGGGAGGGGCTGGGCAGGGAGAGGGCTGGGGACTGGGCTTCTGGGATCTTTCCTGGAGGAACAGGCTTAGCAAAGGGGCCGTGGTTTCAGATTTCTATCCGTGGCTGCAAAAGAGGCACTCCTGGTCCTTCCTTCATCCATCCCCTTCTCTATCCAGAGTCCTCTGCCCCGTTCCTCTCCAGTCCCACTGGGACTCCATTTCCCTCCTGTGCTTCTCCCCTGTGTTCTGGACCCTTCTGCAAGAGAGAAGACTTGCCCGGCTGGCGTGGCTCAGTGCTTGAGCGGCGACCCATGAACCAGGAGGTCACGGTTTGATTCCCGGTCAGGGCACATGCCCGGGCTGCCTGCTCAATCCCCAGTAGGGGACGTGCAGGAAGCAGCCAATCAATGATGTTTCTCATCAATGTTTCTATCTCTCCCTCTCCTTCCCTCTCTCTAAAAATCAATAAAAACATATTTTTAAAAGAGAGAGAGTGTGAGAGAGAGACAGTGCCCTTCCCCACTCTGGTCCCAGGAGCCACCCATCAGCTCCTGGTTTGGAGCTGAGTTTTGTGTGTTTTTTCTTTTAATATGTTGTTGTTGTTTAACAATTTTTATTTATTTATTTGAGAGAGAAAGAGAGAGACATAATGTGTTTCCACTTATTTATGCATTCATTGGTTGATTCTTATATGTGCCCTGACCAGGGATTGAACCTGCAACCTTGGATGACACTCTAACCAACTGAGCTACCCAGCCAGGGCAGGAGCTGAGTTTTGGGGTTTTGTTTTTGTTTTTTTGTTGTTGTTTTGTTAATCCCCACCTGAGGATTTTTTCCCCCTATTGATTTTTAGAGAGAGTGGATGGAAGGGAGGGAGGGGGAGAGAGAGACAGAGAGAGAGAAACTTGAATGTAAGAGAGACACATCGATTGGTTGCCTCCCACACACACCCTGACTGGGGCTGGGGAACCAACCTGCAACCCAGGTATGTGTCCTTGACTGGGAATAAAACCTGAGACACTGTGGTGTTTCTAACCACTGAGAAACACTGGCCAGGGCTGGAGCTGAGTGGGTTTTTTTGTTTTTAATTTATTTCAGAGAAGAAGGGAGAGGGGGAGAGAGGTAGAAACATCAATGATGAGAGAGGGCCACTGATTGGCTGCCTCCTACACGCCCCACACTGGCAATGGAGACCACAACCTGGGACATGCCCTAACTGGGAATTAAACAGTGACCTCCTGGATCATAGGTTGACACTCAACCACTGAGCCATGCCAGCCTGGCAGGAGCTGAGTTCTTAAAGCACCTGAGAGTTTATAGACTACTAGAGGCCCAGTGCACAAAATTCGTGCATGGGGGGGTCCCCTCAGCCCAGCCTGCACCCTCTCCAATCTGGGACCCCTTGGGGACATCCCTCTCACAATCCTGGACTGCTGGCTCTTAATCGCTCACCTGCCTGCCTGTCTGGTTGCCCCTAACTGCCCCCCCCCCCGCCAGCCTGATCATCCCTCACTGCCTCTGCGTGCTGGCCTGATCGCCCCTAACTGCCCCCTCTGCCAGCCTGGTTGCCCTTCATGGCCAACCCCCCACCCCTCCGCCGGCCTGGTCACCCCACGCAGCCTGGTGTTCAGTCGTTTGGTCGTCCCTCACTAACCCCACTGCCAGCCTGGTCATAGGCAGCCATCTTGTGAGGGCATGAGGGTCAATTTGCATATTGCCTCTTTATTATATAGGATGCTTGTTCGTGCCTATTGTCTTAATTAGTTCTCATGATACAACTGTGAGGTGGATAGAGGTGCAATTATCATCCCCTTTTCAGATGAGGAAACTGAGCCTCAGAGAGGTTGAGTAACCTGCCTGAGGCTACACAGCTGGTAAGTAGCAAGGCTGGGATCTGAACCCAGGCCTGGCTGACCCCAAGGCCTGCATACTTTCTACCATAGCCTGCCCCTGGATTGTGAAGGGGCCTCTTCCTGGCTTCTCAGGGAAGGTTTACCTTCTGTCCAGGCAACTCTGGGATGTGGGGAGATGCTCTCAGCTGACCTGTTCTAGTGAAAGTGTCCAGGGAGGGGCCTGTCTTTGCTGCATTTGGGAGCAATAAGCAGGGACCCCTGGTTGAAGGAGGGAGGACACTGCCAGGCCAGATATGGGGGCTCCTCCAGGCTTTCAGGTTACAAGTTGTGAACCAGCTGGACAGAGAGACTTCCCTCAGAGAGAAGATCTATGTGTTCATGCTGGGCCTCTTTGCAGTGCCTGGCAAATGCCAATGCTCAATAACTATTTGTTGAAAATATGAAAAAGGGATGAATGGTCTGTGGTGCACATATCCCAAAGGATGAGGATTGCTCTGTTTTCTCCATTTGTGCATTTATAAACTTGGTAACTAACATTCATTGAGCACCTACTGTATGGACGAGGCACTGATCATTCAGGTTCTCATTTAATTCTCACAATCCTGGGAGGCCAGTGTTAACGCAGAGTTTGAGTGAGGAAACCGAGGCTCAGAGAGGTGAGGTGACTTGCCCAAAGATGCACAGCTACTCAGTGGCTGAGTCAGAATTTAAAGCCAGAGGCTGCTTGCCTGGGAGCTCACGTATGAGAATGTGTTCTGTAAACCTCAGGGCCATGCACATACTGTGATGATGATGGCAGTGACAAGGATTCACTCCTTGTGTGGCCCGATCCCTGCCTCCCTCTGACCTGCCCCATGTCCAGTGCCAGCTTGCGGATAGGACATGTAGACTCAGAGAATGAATGGTGACCCTATTCCCTCCCCGCCCCAGAACCAGGCCGAAGCACATTATAAAGGCCACAAACATGCCAGAAAACTCAAGGCAATTGAAGCCGCCAAGAGCAAGCAGAGGCCCCAGACCCTGGCCCAGGATGGGACACTGGTGTCTCCGACCCCGACCGTGGCCAGTGGAGCCCCCGAAGAGCCACAACGCAAAGGTCAGTCCTGAACTCTTCTCCCGCCCCCCACTCCCAATCTGGTTTCTGACGAGGGGTTGAGAGATGTCTTTTTTTTTAAAATATATTTTATTGATTTTTTACAGAGAGGAAGGGAGAGGGATAGAGAGTTAGAAACATCGATGAGAGAGAAACATCAATCAGCTGCCTCCTGCACACTCCCTACTGGGGATGTGCCCGCAACCAAGGTACATGCCCTTGGCCGGAATCGAACCTGGGACCCTTGAGTCCACAGGCTGACGCTCTATCCACTGAGCCAAACCGGTTAGGGCAAGAGATATCTTATTGTTATGTCTGCTTGTGCTAGAACAGTGATGGCGAACCTTTTGAGCTCGGCATGTCAGCATTTTGAAAAACCCTAACTTAACTCTGGTGCCGTGTCACATATAGATTTTTTTTGATATTTGCAACCATAGTAAAACAAAGACTTATATTTTGATATTTATTTTATATATTTAAATGCCATTTAACAAAGAAAAATCAACCAAAAAAATGAGTTCGCGTGTCACCTCTGACACGCGTGTCATAGGTTCGCCATCACTGTGCTAGAGCATTCCTACAGAGACAAGGCACACATCACAAGTGGACAGCTCAGTGCATTTTCCCGTCTGGATATATCGAGATTAAGAAACTTCTCTCAAGCACCCAGAAGCCCACCTTGGGCCCCTTCCAGTCACTACTTGTATTAGTTTTGTAGGAACTATAATGACCACTAACTGGGTGGCTGAAACAATAGAAATGTCTTTTCTCACAGCTCTGAAGGTCAGAAGTTTGAAATCAGGGTGTCCACAAGGCTGCTTCCTTCATGGAATGGAGAGGGAGAATTTGTTTCATGCCCCTCTTTCAGCTTCTGGTGGTTGCCTGGCATTCCTTGGCTTGTGGATGTGTCACTCCATCTCTGCCTCCATGTTCACATCTGGTTCTCCCATGTGTCCATGGTCTTCTTATAAGGACACCAGTCATTGGATTAGAGCCCACCCTAAGCCAGTATGACTTTATCTTGACTAATTACGTCTACAAAGACCCTTTTTCCAAAATAAGGCCACATTCTGAGGTTCTAGAGCAGTGGTTCTCAACCTTCCTAATGCCGCGACCCTTTAATACAGTTCCTCATGTGGTGACCCCCAACCATAAAATTATTTTCGTTGCTACTTCATAACTGTAATTTTGCTACTGTTATGAATCGTCATGTAAATATCTGATATGCAGGATGTATTTTCATTGTTACAAATTGAACATAATTAAAGCATAGTGATTAATCACAAAAACAATATGTAATTATATATGTGTTTTCCGATGGTCTTAGGAGACCCCTGTGAAAGGGTTGTTCGACCCCCAAAGGGGTCGCGACCCACAGGTTGGCGACCCACAGGTTGAGAACCGCTGTTCTAGAGGGACATGAATTTTGGGATGACACTCTTCAACCACCTACACCCCTCCCCCCAGGGTAGCTACGATCCTGACTTCTCACAAAGACCAGTTTCACTTGGTTTTGATAAACTGTGTAGAATGTAGGCTTTTGTTCATCTTTCATGAACATTCATGGTAAGATTCTTCCGTGGTGTTGTGGTGGTAGCTGTAATTTGTCCTTTTCCATTGACATGCAGTATTCCATTGTAGGACCATACACCTTTTTAAAAACCCATTCTCCTATTGATGAGCATTTGAATAGTTTCCAGTTTTAAGCTACTATGAAGAGTGCTCCATGAACATTCTAGTACCTTTTCTAATTTCCGTTTATTTAACAGCTAGTAGCTAGACTATCAGGGCCGTGATGGCTGAGATTACTCTGCCCAACTTTTATGCTTTCAGATGGGGAAACCGAGGCCCAAAGAGGCCCAGGTCTGCCCAGTGAGTTGGATGGTAGAGTGGGTCTGGAATTGAGCGCTGGTCACCCCTGCACTAGTGACCCGTCCACTCTGCCAGCCACCCCTAATGTCAGTGCTTACAATCAAGGTCTCAGGAATCAGCTCAGGCCTCACCCTCTTACCCGATGCCTTCCATGTCCCCAGCAGTTCCTGCAGACCCTCCTCCTGGCCCCCCACTCCGGCCACCGCAGACTCCCGACGGGATGCCCAGGGAGCCCGCCCACTCAGACCTCTTGGATGCTGCCTCCTCTTCCTCTTCTTCCTCCTGCCCACCCTGCTCCCCAGAGCCTGGGACAGAGGCCCCAGGACCTGAGCCAGTGGCGGCTGCTGTGGGAAGCGGTGTGAGTGGGGCAGGCAGGAGTGAGAAGGGGCGCCTCTACTGCCCCACGTGTAAGGTGACGGTGAACTCTGCCTCCCAGCTTCAGGCTCACAACACAGGTGAGTGTGCCCCGCCAGCTGGAGTCCGGGGGAAGGAGAAGGGCGGGGAGACGGCCCCTCACCAGATGGGGGCAGGGTGGAATTTCTGGGCGCTTTGCTCAAGGACTTGGTCACCGAGACGTTCTGCTCAGTTGTTACTGGGCGTGCATTTCGGGTCCTCCCACTAACGCTTGAGGGAGAATGGAGAAGAGAAACAAGGACTGAAGGGTCACTGCAGAGCCGACAGGAGACACCTCCTCCATCTCTCCTTACGTCAGGCCCAGAGGGGGGGACTGAGATTCGAGAAGGAAGCTGACCAGTTACATTGCAAGAAGGCCCCCCGCTGGGGGAGGGTGGCGTGAAATGAGAGGACCTTGTGGAGATGGAAAGAGGAATCTCATGGCTGGTGGGGAGTGTATGTGCTGAGCAGCCTCAAAGCTAAAGGGACAACCAAACTGACCTGGTTCGGAGGGGTCTCCGTGGCCTTGCAGCCCCTCCACGGTGCTGACAGACTTTCTTCTCTCCTTCCACCAGGAGCCAAGCACCGGTGGATGGTGGAAGGTCAGCGAGGGGCTCCCCGAAGGGGCCGGGGCCGCCCAGTGCCCCGGGGAGGAGCTGGACACAAGGCCAAAAGAGTGACCGGGGGCCAGGGGGGCCGGCAGGGGCCCAGCCCCCCTTTTCACTGTGCTGTCTGTCAGCTCCAGGTCAATTCAGAGACCCAACTCAAGCAGGTGGGAGAAGGGAGGCCGGGACGAGGGTTGGAGCAGGGGTGAGGGAGCGGGCCCAGTGCCAGGGGAGGAGGCAGGAGGGCGCTGAGGAGAGAAGGTGGGTAGAGCAGGGCCAGGCGGAGGAAGAGGAACAAGGCTGGTGGGACAGTGGGCTCCTGGAGACAGAAGCCAAGCCTTACCTCCCCTTCCCAGGGCCACGCCAGGTGATGCCCAACACATGTAGGTGCGATGTGTGAACTGTGGGTAGAGAAGGGTGAGCTAGTCGAGGACGATGGGGAAGTTGGGGGTCCTTGGGCTTCCTCATCTTGTTCCCAGTCTGTCTGTCTGCCTGTCTGTCCATCAGCACCTGAGCAGCAGGAGGCACAAAGACCGCCTGGCCGGGAAGCCCCCCAAGCCCTCCAGCCAGCACAGCAAGCTGCAGAAGCACGCAGCGCTGGCTGTGAGTATCCTCAAGGTATCTGTCTCCAGGCAACGGGGCCGGGACCCTGGGCAAGGGCAGGCGGGGAGTGGGGGCCTCATGGGGGGCTGAGGCAGGAATAAAGCCACCCCTTTCCGAGGCTGCCTGGGGCTGGGTTTGGGCTCTCTTGGGATCTGCCCAGAGGAATGTCCGGGAGGTGGGCCTGGGTAGGAATCTCTCGGGCAAGAGCGAGGGGTGGGCGTGCCATCTCCTGGAAACCATCTCTACCTCCGCCCCACACAGCCTCCTCCCTTGGCCCATCCCCATTCTCGTCCTTGGGGGCAGGAAGACAGGTGGTGGAGAAAGCCCTTTGGAATGAATGTCTGGGGGCGGGAAGGGAGGAGGATTTAGGTTTGGAACCCTAAAAGGCATGTGTGTCCTGCAGCAGAAAGCCCAAGGACGGGGGATTTTCTGGGGTCAGACTGTGTCCAGCCCTCTCTTTCTCCTTTGCAGTCGAAACTGGCCTTGCAGAAGCAACTCACCAAGACGCTGGCAGCCCGCTTCCTGCCTAGCCCGATCCCCACCGCAGCGGCGGCCATCTGTGCCCTGCCAGGGCCCCCTGGCCCTCCGGCCGGCCCCCACCGCAGCCACCACCCTCTTCCCGGCTCCCATCCTGGGCCCAGCTCTGTTCCGCACCCCAGCGGGAGCTGTGCGCCCTGCCACGGGACCCATCCTCTTTGCCCCCTATTAGCCCTTCCAGGGAGGCCAGGGCCGCCTTCCCAGCGGTCACCTTCCCCGCCCTCCTCTCCCCAGGGCGCCTCCGTTCCTACATCCCGCAGGGGATTTTTTTCACAGTCGAGGGGTTCCTGACCAACCTAGGAAGAGCTGGGCTGGTTTGAAGGGCAGGTGCCCTTCACCCCATCTGACTGGTGATTCAACTATTACCCCCTGGCCCAAGGGCCATGCCCACCCTCAGTTCCCCAGCCTTCTAGTCCTGGGCTCCCCGCACTTCCAGCCCGATGTACAGGGAGCAAACCGAGAAATCCCCAAGATCTATGCAAAATCCTAGCCCAGCCCCACGGTGCTCTCATGTCCCCCGCAAGACCTACCCCCACATGGCCAAGGGCCCTAGAAATCGTAACTGCCAGCCTGGGACAAGCCTGCGACTGACCCGACTCCCGCGTTCTGGGAGGCCCTCCCCATTCGCCGGCTTCTCTGGAGAATGACACGGTGCGGACGGGCTCTGGACACGATGACCACGGGGGCCACGGGGGCGTGGCGGAAGCTGGAGGAGAAAGGCAGCCGTGCTGAGGTGGGGCACAGCCACGGTGCTGGAAGCTGTTAGGGGTCATCTCCAAAGGGATGGGGCTGGGCCGTTTTAACAGAAGAAGTGATCAATCCCCTCTTAGCCTTTTACTGATTTCTCCTGAACCCCAGCTCTGGGGTGGGGGGGACACTGGGTCTCCCTCAGACTACGGACCCAGCTAACACTGAATCCCCGCCCCCCAGGGTTCCCAAATGAAGAGCTTTCTTCTCTAGCTGTTCAACCCAAACTGGTCCCTCGCACAATTCAGCTTTCCCCCCCCCCAACCGACCAGCACCCCAAGCCTCCCTCATTGTGAAGCTGAGTGTTGGGATCCAGTCTGGTAACCACAGACCCATCCTCACGCTAACGTCATGACCTCCATCCTATCCCAGTATTGTCCCCCTCACCCCACAATATGGGACTTTGCCAGTATCCACCTGTATCTTTTTTTAAAAAAGGCTATTTCCAATGGGAAAATAAGGGGCGGACGGGAGGGAAACTTTTTGATAACAGTTGTGGTTTTATTGTGTCCAATGCATCAATAAATGAACTTTAAGCCCGAGCCTGTCTATGCCCTAACTTGACTTGCCCAGCCTGGGACCGCCTGCCCCTGCTCACCTCCCCTGCTTTGGGGAGGGGCATGCACTGGAGGGGGCCCGGCGATAGGGCTCCCCTATGGTAGCGGTGCCCATCAGAAGCCCGGAGAGAAGCACGAAGCAGGCCCAGGACGTTGTGGGTCAGGAGCTCACCTTACAGCATGTTGAGTGTAACCACCCTTCTGAGCCCCAACAGATCTGTCCGCTCCTGAGAAGTGACTACGTGTTTGCCTTGTTCTGTTGAGGCATCTGAGGTAAGAAGGGCTAGAGGAGCACCTTGTCCAGCCTTCACCATGGCAGCATACTAACTTATAACAGGGAATTTATAAATAAAGTCCAGCTAATAGCTGAAAACAACCACAGGAAGGAGTGAAGACCAGCCCCCGGGGGTGTGAGGTTCCCCAGTGAGCACTAAGCAGCCATTCTGGCAACTAGAGTAGATAGTGCGCTCCTGCCCCCTGGCGGTTGTCGGAGAGCAGAGTCCCAGCCTCCAGGGCCGGTAGGCATAGCACCTTGAAGAGGGAGAAGAAACAAAGGATACAGTCAGCTGGCCCGGAGCCAGGGGCATTATAAAGTCATAGGGCTGCAGAGGATCTGAAGGCCATCTAAGCAACTCCTGTCACTGTACAGATAAGGAAACCAAAGCCCAGAGAGAAAAAGCCCTGCTGGGTAACAAAGCCTCTAGGTGACTCAGCCCAGTCATCACTCCATTCCACCTCAACCAGTGAAGCAGGAAGAGGAAGTGAAACAATTGGGGCGGGAGGTCAAGTAGAAAATCACACTTCCCAGCCACGGTACAGACGGGAACAAGGTCAGGGTGCTGGGTGAGGAGGCACCCCCAACACGAGGACGCACACGTGTACACGATACCTGGACGCCCTTCCCCTAGAGTCCAGGCTGGTGCCGTAAGTGTTTGTGTGTGTGTGTGGCAGAAGCCCAGAGGTGTGGGACCCGTGATCAGAACCAGACCCTAGACGCGGCACTTCTGTGGGGCAGCTCTGCTTCCCAACCAGGGCAGGTGGGAGGGACCCTGACCCACATCTGCCCCAGGTCCCAGAGGGGCAGATGGGATGGAAGCTGGGGTGGGGGGAGAGGTTGGGGGCACTAACCTAGATTATCTGCACTTCCCGGAGTTAGGAGGGAGCCAAAGTGGCCCGAGCCCGGAACAGCCCAGCTGCCTGCCCTAGTGGGAGTTGCCTTTCCCTTCAACCCATCTTCCACAGCCCCAGAAGCTGGCCTGGGGTTGGGGAGGTGAAGAAGGGATGGCAGCTCTTCAGCCATCCAAGGAGCCGCTGCCCTTGTTCTTACGGCTGAGGGGGAAGGCGGACTTGCTCTGGGGCTGGGTCATCTTGCTGGCCAGGTAGACGAAGGGCTCCAGGAGGGAGCGGCGGTCAGCCACAGACACCTCCCACAGCTTCACCTTCTCCGACTTGGCCCAGTGCTGGGCCACGTCTGGGTCCACGCGCCGCTGCTCCTGCAGGTCGCATTTATTGCCAAGGACCACGATGGTGACCTGGGGAAGAGGGACAGAGTAGAGACTTGTGGATGTGCCACGGGCCTTAGAAATGGGTGTGAAGGCTGGCCACCACCTAGGAGTCCTAAGCGAAGGGAAGTTTTAATGGCTGATATCTCTTCCTATATTAGAAATTACGAAGTGAGGAGAGGGAGATCATTGCTTTTTCCTCGCCTTCCTCTATTCAAATTCTGGCCTCCGTCTGGCCCTCCCTCCAGGAGTTCCATTACAAGCCCTGCATCACCCGTGTCTGCTCACGGCCAGCAGTCAGTTCAATTTTGGCTGAATAACATGAGGAAGCACTCCCAGAATGCCCATAGCTGACTGGGGGACTTAAGAAAAGAAGGGCTTTCACAACTAAAAATATGGAGCCAGTAAAAAGAAGGACTAGCGGGGGCTTCACGTGTTAGGCCGGGGAGCTCTTAAACTGCGGCCTTTTCGGCTGAGCTGCCTCAGCATGGGGCCACCTCTGTGGGTGAAGACACCTTCCAGTGGCCTTGATCCCGCCTCCAGCTCCTGACCCACCGCCTAGAAAGTGAGTAAAACACAGAGCCATGCCAAGCCTCCCAAAGCCAGCCCCGGGCCCGCTCTCTCGCACCACCGGGGCTCCCACACACACCTCCTTCTTGTCCTTGGATTTGTCGATTTCCTTCTTGAGCAGCTCCACACGCTGAAAGGACTCCCGGCTGTCTGTGCTGTAGACCAGGACGTAGCCGTCGGTGCAGGAGAAGCAGTGCCTGGGCAGCTCCGCCCCGTCCCGGAGCCCGCGGGTGTCATAGAAACGCACCTGCTCCCGCACCCCCCGGTCAGTTTCAATGGAGCCCACGTAGATGTCTTCCTGTGTCTCAATCATCTCAGAACCTGAGATAAAACGAGGACACTTGTTTGTAGGGAGAAAGGAGATGGGATGACGTGAGTGACTGAGGATATCCTGACAGGCTGGCCAGACAGGGAGGGAAAGGAATGCAGGGGCTGAGAAGAGGGGGCCAGACTGAATCCAGCAGGACTGGAGCGATTTGGGGGAACAGACATGAACCTCATGTTCACACCATGCTAAGCAAAAGGGAGACTTGGGAGCTTTTCCTCCTGATCTCTGATATTGGGTTTCCTTCCTCCGGGTCTCAATGTTGTAGAGCTGGAGGGCATGATGTAGACTTTACTCCAGGAGCAGGTTTTGGCTTCTCTGTGTTATTAAATCCTACTCCTTAATCTTCAGCTTCTTCCACCATCCCCTCCCCACCCCCCACCCCCCGAACAAAACACTCACCCACTACATGGTTCCCGTAAAGAAGCTGCTCCAGGATTGACGTTTTGCCCACAGATGCCTGGCCGCACACGACCACCTTGCAACTCTTCCCCATGCTTGGCCTTCAACCTTAAAGAAAGCAGCACCCGGGTGAGGCGGATCAAAACAGAGCCCAAGTTCTGAGCTGCACGGGCAGCCTTGGGGGCCCAGCACTGCCCTCTCCTCTCGTCAGGGTGTATGTCAGAGATGATGTGTCTCACTCGCCCTCGCCGGCTTGGCTCAGTGGATAGAGCGGTGGCCTGCGGACTGAAGGGTCCCGGGTTCGATTCTGGTCAAGGGCACATGCCCCGTTATGGCCTCAATCCCCTGTCCCTAGGGGGTGTGCAGGAGGCAGCCGATCAATGATTCTCTCTCATCGTTGATGTTTCTATCTCTCCCTCCCTATCTGAAATCAATAAAAATACATCAACAAAAAAAGAAATGATGTGTCTATGTCCCCTACTGGGCAGGGAGCTGTGTCTTTTTCACCTTCGCGATTCCCCGTAGCTGGCCAGTGACTTGGTGCTCACTGTATGCTGCCTAAGGGGGGAAGAGATGCTGGTTAAAAGGAAACACCGGGAGGTCCCTCTCCATGCACAGGACTTGGGAGCACCAGTTACTGCAGGGAGCCCGTGCTCGGCTCCCCTCTTTAACCCTGACCCCGGAAGAGAGATAAGCGGGAACACTATTGTGTGTGGATCTGTCTTCAGCTACTCTTCCTGGTGAACAAATAAGAACATTTTACTTTCCTGTATGACTTATCTAGACAACGAATTCCCGCTGGTTCCTAGTCAAGTCCCGTCCAAGAGTAAGACCACCAGACAAGAAAGAAGTGAAGGGATCTGAGGAAGGACAGGCCCCGGAAAGGAGACGATTTTTGCGGCCCCTGGGCTGGCGGACCAGAGGAGAAGGCTCAGACACAGAAACCCCTTCTCGCCAGGGATCGCGGCGGCTTCCCACCAGCAGCCCCAGATCCCTCCCGGGAACAGAGAGACCATTCCCCAAAGGGGTTCCAAACAGAACCCTCTCCGGAGGAAACTCCGGAGACAGGCCCTCCTACCCCGCCCCAAGGGCCCCATACACTCAGCTCCCCGATGAGCAGGTACCCCGAGAGCGAGCCCGCGGGGCCTCCGCCACAGGTTTCCCCCCGAGGGGACGCCCCCACCCCCACCCCCGGAGGAACCCATGGCGGCAAAGACCTGCCACCTAAAGCGGCCCCGGCGCGCGGCCGATCCCCGCCTTCCAGCTCCGTACCTGCCGGGGCCCTCGCAGCACCCCAGCCGGGCCCCTAGGAGCACCGGGATCAGGGGAGGGGCAGCACGGCCGCCAGGCCTCCGTCCTTCCGGGTGCATCCGGGCTCTGTCCGGTCCCGCCCCCCGCCCCCCAGCTTCTGTCCCCCAAGACGAATTCCGGCGGCAGAGAGCCGGCGCCGTCCGCCCAGCGCCCCCAGAGGCCGGCGGGGGACCTGGCGGCCGGGACCCGATGGTGGTGCGCAGCGGGCGCGCACGGTACTGGACGCGGCCCCCTGGACGCGGGGTGCCGTTCTGGCCTGATGCCCACGTGTTCTTCTCTAAGGCTGCTGTGGTACAGTGACGCTTCATTTACTCAAGCGTTTCTCCATCAATGTATGGTGAGCACCGATTCTGCGCCAGGTACGGGACCACGCACCTGGAAAAGGAGACCAATGATGCACCCTAGCTGCCCGTTAGAAGGTCACTGTCCAGAGAAGCTAGACATCTCATCCCAAAATGACAGCAAAAGAGGGGCCACAGCAGCACAGCAGAAGGGCATTTAACTTGGGGGCAGTGGGCGCCACGGAGAACTTCCTGGAGTCCGTTATGTCTGTGTTGAGGTTTGAAGGGCTTGGGAGGAAAGGATGAAGAAAACATGGCAACGAGTCATGGCATTTTTCTGGAACTATAAGTACTTGGGTTCAATATTGATGGTAGAAAGGAACCAAATAATCGAAGGCCTCGTGTAGTAGATCAAAGGCTTCCAACTGTATCCTAACAGCCATGGAAAGCCATTGGTAGGTTTTAGTGCAGTAACATGGTCGATTTTTGCTTTTAAGGTCAAGTCTGGTAGAAGACTGAAGATTGCAAAGAGATGAGGCTGGGGTGCCAGTCGGGAAACTTTGATAGTATTCCAAGTTTTTTTTTTTTTTTTTTTTTTTTTTTTAAATAATAACAACAGCCAGAATTGGGATGGAAAGATGATAGATTTGGGAGACTTTTGGCAAGAGAGTCAAGATTTGATGCTAAACTGGGAGTCAGAAGTGAGAACGAGAGAGGAATTCATGATGTCTTCCATCTGTCTCATTTGATGACCAGGTGAATGATGAATCCATTCAACAAGACAAGGAACTCAGCAGAAGAGAATCAAGTCCAGCATTTGTTTTTGTTTTGTTTTCTGTTGTGGAGGGGTGGGGAGAGAATGACAAGTTCCATTTAAATACGTTAAGCTTTAGGGATTTGTGAAACATCCAAAAGATACCAGTAGATAGTTGGATATACAGATCTGAAGTCAGAAGAGAGATCTAGGCTGGAGATATCAACAGAAAGTCACGACAAATAAAGTTAAAGCTGTGGGTGTGGATGAGTTAGCTTACAGAGAACACCAAGTGGGAAGATGGTGAAAGACGATCTCTTGTATTAGACGGTAGACGGTGAGCCTTTGGCAGGCAGGGCAGGTGGTGAGTCTGTGTCCTCCCAAGCTAGGATAGGGACTTTGGAGAGGGCTGGATAAATGGCCTCTCTCTGCCCACCCACTGGGCCTCTCCCATTCTCCCCTACCTAATGGTGCGTTTGGTTTCAGCTTCTTTGGCTCTCTGATAGTCAGGGATCATGCGAGCAGCCTATGGACAATGGCACCTAGTTTTACTGGAGGAAGAGGATAAGATCCCTTTTGAATTCCCTTGCCCCCTTATTAATTTCCCATATATATCAAAAAAAATTTTTTATATATCTTTATTGATTTCAGAGAGGAAGGGAGAGGGAGAGAGAGATAGAAACATCAATGATGAGAGAGAATCCTTCATCGGCTGCCTCCTGCACGTCCCCTACTGAGGATCAAGCCCGCAACCCAGGCATGTGCCCTCGACCGGAATCGAACCTGGGACCCTTCAGTCCGCAGGCTGATGCTCTATCCACTGAGCCAAACCGGCTAGGGCGATATCTCAAATTTTAACCTCAAACTTCCTCAATTTAACCTCAGAAAACCCCAATTTAATTCAAGTTCACAAATATTATTGGTTTGGGTGAGGTGACAGACTACAAAGATGGCTAGGCTGTGTCCCTGCCCTCGAAGATTTCCCAGTCCAGACTGCATTCAGCAAGACAAACGTGCTGAGCGGAGTTTTTACAAGGGGTGGGAATATGGGGACACCAGGGCAGGGACCTCACCCTGTGAGCTGCCTTATAAACTCAAGGGCAGGGTCCGGGGCGCTGTGCCACTCTTCCTGGGCCTGATGCTGAGATGGCACTCCCAAGCGGCTGACATGAAAGCAGCATCATAAAAGGGTCGGCGTCATTAGGGTGATGAACCAGTTGGTGCGTGGACAGCCAGAGGGGATGAAAGGCGCGGGGTGAAGACGCCCCGCGTACCCCTGGCTTGACTGGGCAGGGCTTCCCAGGGCCGATGAAAGCTGGAGGAACCGGGCTCAAAGTGTTTCTTCTTGCCTTTCCCGGGAGGAAGCGGTGGACACGCTCCAAGGTCGGGAAGGCAGCAGTGGGGGGGCTCTTTCCCTCCAGAGTCCTGGGTGACCGGGTCCCCACCCAACTCAGACCCCTCTCAATCTTACAGAAGACGCGCACGAGTTGGAAGTTGCTGTGGCAATGAGGCTCCGGGAAGATTGAGGAAAGCCAAGGTCTACAGAGGCGACATCCTCCTGCACCCCAATTCGCCCTACGGTTAAAGTGGCGCCCCCCACGCACAGGAACCGTCCCTGGGGCCCCGCCCCGGCGCGGAGACAGCCGCGGACCTCCGGGGGCGGGAGGCCGCTCTGGCCCCCAGCGGAGCCTCTCGCTGGTAGACGGGCCCGAGGGAGCCTCTCTGGGCACAGCGCCGCTGCGCGACTCGATGCCCCGACCGGAAGTGCTCTTCACCGCCGGCCTCCCACCCGGCTCTCTGGTCTGGGCGGTAAGATGGCGGCTACCGCGGAGTGCGATGTGGTAATGGCGGCGACCGAGCCAGAGCTGCCCGACGAAGAAGGAGCGAAGAGGTAACCGGGTCGTGGTGCAGGGGAAGGGGCGAGCTGCAGCTCTGTGGCTGTGGGTAACCCGTCCCTGCCATGATGCAGCTCCTAGCTGTTGAGGCGATGCCCCGCCCTCCGTGGACCCCCCCCTCCCCCCCACGCTCGCGATCCAGTCCGGATGGACCCCCTGAAGGGGCGCTCTCGGAGGTCGGACCTCCCCTCCGGCTTCCGCCTGGCTGGGGAGTTGAGGCCCCGGTCGTTTCGCAGCAGAGGGGAAGGTCGTCCCTACGGCGGAGACTTAGTCTCTGGGGGCATTTGGGGTCTGTTGCGGGGCGGGGGCGGCGGCGCGGCGACCGTGACCCCCGCCCGAACTTCTGTGCATTGTCGTCAGTCAAGGCCCGTGCTCTCCTCATCCTCTTCTTCCGTCATCATACCCCAGCGAGCACTGACCTGGGTCCGAGGTGATGGTGTGTCTGCACTCTGGGCCTGATCGCCCCCTCCCCACAGTGACCCCCGAAGTGGAAGATGATAAAGAGGAAGAGCGAGGGGCTGGTTTCGTGCTCTGCACGTCGGACGCCCCTTCCTCCACCCCGGCGTCCCCCCTCCCAGTCATACCCTCATCCCTCTCAGGGCCGTGATTCCCCTCAAGTGCAGCAGCAAGGAGGAGGGCAGCTGCTTGGGCGCTATTGACGCTGCTGGGCAGCTGCCGTGGCTCGAGCTGGCCGGGCCGGACCAGCCTAGGGAGCTGCTGAGTGAGTGTTTTTCGAGAACACTCTCTGGGTTCCGGCCACCGCCGGGGCAGGTGGTGGGAGGTGGGGTGGGGACACAGCTGTGGGTGCTCACGCTCCTCACCCCGAAGCCAAAGGAACGAAGAGGTGCTGGGGCCCCTTTTCCTAATCGGCGGCAGATGGACTGATTAAGAAATCTCGGCCTCCCCACATACTCCGTGTCCTCATACCAAGCCTGTGAATGTCGTCTCCAGTCTGGGTGGCTTGAGGTGGGGAGGTAGGACTGTGCATGCGATCTGAAATCAGGACTCCGAGGTATTAATTGTAAGATGGAGTGAGGCAGCGTGAGTAGATGTCAAAAGTAAGGCGAGTTACTGCAGCCAGTGTTCCCAGCGCCTGACCTGCTGGGAGCTGCTGACCAGGTGTAGGAGGTCCCTGGGCGATCAGAGAGCTCAGGATACCAGCGTCTGGTCTCCTGGTGTCACCGGCAAAATGGCACCCGGCATGGTACTGGCGACTGGACCTTGGCTCAGCACCCTTGGTGCTTGAGTTCTGGCCTAGAAAGAATTCAGAGCCAAGACTCAGATACGAGCAGAAGTTTATTTGCAAAGTCAGAGGTGGAAGAAGCGAGCCAGCTGGGCTGCATGGGCTCCGGGAACAAATGGCAGAGGCTAGACAAGGGCCCCTGGAGCGAAGAGAGAGAGAGAAAGAGAGAGAGAGAGAGAGGGAGGAGGCTGGTGCGGGGGAAGCCTCTCCAGAGAGACTGCTGCTCTGGGTCCTGGAGGTTATCTGTCTGGAGGTCTTGGGAGGATCCCCTAGAATATTGATCAGCTTTCCAGGTGTGTTGGTTCAGGGTTGTGGTCTTTGCTGATTGGTCGCCACCAGGGATCATCAGTCAATGCAGCTGGTCCTAACGTCAGCGCAATAACAATGTTATCGGCGACTGGACCTCTGTTCAGCAACCTCGTTACTTGAGTCTCTAGTTACATGGCTTTGTCTGTCTGGTTTTGCTGCTCTCCTGGGCCTGGAGCTGAAACACAGTGAGGCCTGTATGTATTTGATGTGGATCAGAACCTCGTTGTCCTGGAGGTTTAATGTGTAAGGGCTATCCTCAGGCCCCCTCACTCATTCCCCTCTAGGAGGGTCTGACCCACATGACTAGCAGCATGCTAGGGAGGAAAGGTCAGGGGAGGGTCTGAACCGCCTGACCTTCGAAATGCGAAATGCGAGGTGAGAGGTTACCCTGGGGGCAAGGTCCTTGTTTTCCCAGTTTTGCCCTTTGCTGGGGCTTTCCACCCTAGTGGCCTTCTGTACCTGGCCCATCATCCCTGCACTGCTCATGTCTAACTGCCCACCACACTTACTTACGAGTTTTCACATCGGTCCTAGTTCTTTCCAGATATTTAGAATTAAACATCATTTGCATCATTAAGGAACTGTAAAATGGGAAATACAACTACCCCAACACAGAGCTTA